TGAAGGTAAAAGCAAACTCCAAATAATGCAGTGAAGAGCTGTGTGGCATTAAACCACACAACACAGAAGAGACTCTTGGAAGAATAAGTCTCATCCACTTTCGGTGGGACATGCATGTGCTATAAATAAAATACAAAATATTGACATGTTTCTCTGCAAGAAAGACCACAAATTTGTGGTCTTTTTCAATTTATGATATCTACATGAGAAAGCCAAAGCACTGGCTAGCCTCTGCATTAGGAATATTGCTGTGCAGATTTACGTGGAGATCTTTTTTCTTTCTTCTAGGTTTCCCATTAAAAGCCCTTTAAGGTCATCAGTTCTGTTTCCAAACAGAGTTCAAGGGAAACATCTTTATCTGCTTTAAGTCATATATTGGTTTTTCCAATTGGAACATGTTAACTCCAACCTTTTTCTTTTAAGGTTAGGCCCTCAATGCAATTATATTTTAATGCTACATTGTGTCAATCTAATTGATATACACACATTATATAATTTGCATGCGGAGTCATTCCATAAGAAGATGCAGAGCAAGGACTCCAAGACTTCTGCACTTTAAAAAAAAATAAATTTAAGTAATGTTCATCATCTACTTTTGATAAATAAAGGTATAGTGGAGCCAAGACATACAGCTACTACTTTGCCACCATCTATAATCTGCACATATAACAAAAAATGTTACTGGATGTGGCTACTGGTAGGCATTTAGAGCCTATCAATTTAGTCATTTAGAGACAATTCCACGGAGGGAATGCAGAGGAATAATTTTTTAAAAATTCCTAGATTGCTCTCAAAGTTTGAAGAGGGACCATGTTTTTTCTCCCAAAGTTAATTCTCATTGCACATACACGGGATCAAATCTCACCTGAAATTTCACGTGTGTACCTACCAACAAGTACCCCAAGGACTGATCCCTGGCACAGGGGCCAGCTTGCCCAGAACAGATTTCATCAATGTTATTTACCTCCTGAACTCCATAACAGGCTGATCACATCCAAAGTGCCCACTAGAGATGGTACCTTGCCAGTTCCTGAATTGAGCACAGGCCAAAATCTGTGCCAGCAAGTGTTCTAACAACCAGCTGTACAGATGACTGAGCTACAGTGTCCCAGAAAATTTCCCAGCACTACCAAGTCCAGTGACATAGATGTAGTGTGGCAGGCTTAACATTAAGCCTTTAATGTACTCATTTTGGTCTCAGTCAAAAACGTGATTCAACCTTTTTAAACCACCTATTTTAGGATGAAGTAATCTCTAAATGAGCTTTTGCCGCTCTAATTCTGACTAAAAGAGGCATCTGACATCTCACAGCATTATTGCTATTAAAGCAAGAGCAAAGCATGGGTTTTTGTGACATTTAGCCTTGGAAGCATATTAAATATGGTACGAATAAAGCTGAAGTGTGGTCTTTGCAAATAAGAAATGCATTTTACAAGTTTTCTTGTCAAGTGTTTTTCTTCTCTTGATGATCCAATACAAAATGTTGAATACCTCTTATTTTTTAATGCACATTGAATTTTATAAGCTCGTGAGTCACAGTTCTCATGAAAAACTGGAGTTAAAGGAATTTTTGCTCCACCTTTTTTTTTCTTCTCTTACCCTCAATATAAAGATGTTCTAGTAAGACAATGTTTTGAATAACCTTTGTATAATATCCCTGAAGAGTAACTGAGACCTCAGGGTAGTCATGAGCAATGTAAGCCAAGAAGTTGTGCAAACATGCAGAATTTGATTTGCAAAATGAACACAAAGAGCAACAATTAGTAAACAGAAGCTGCTTTGACATTGGAAGGAGTTGGAAGAATGGACGTGTGACTTTCCAACCCCCTCACCGTGACTTTACTGTGCATCAGCACATTCAAGTTTGAGTTGTGGGGATAATTGACACAGACACCTCTTCTGTTAAGATCTTAGCAGTAGTTTTCTGAGACTTTGAAGTCCTGGAAATGACAACACTTGCTCAGTATGCTCACAGGTGGCACAACTGTGTATTTTATAATTTCATTCTGGACATAACTTTAGTTTCATTTAGCTTCTTCAGGTTTCCACGTGCATTTAAGACTAGCTCAAACTACAAATTACAAATCTATCATAAAAGCTAGTCTCTAAACCATTATTACAATTCATAAAAATAGTGCCTCACAGTTTGAAGGGTTTGCATCTGGTGATTATTAACTTGAAATAGGGTAACTGAATTTTGCATAAAATTATTTTTTAATATCAGGATGTTGTGAAGTACTAGGTCTTTCATAAAAACCGTGTAGTAACTTCCCTTTCCAATACTTATTTCTTAGTCTTTAAAAATTATTTATTAAATTGTCTTTTCTTAATTCAGTTACATTAAATCAAGTGAATTAAATTACATTACAAATATTGGCAGTTCAGTATAGTAGCATATTGGTTGAGTACAACACTTTCAGTAAATCTAGTAAATCTAGACTTCAATTTTTTGTTTTGTACAACTCTCACTGATTTGTCCAAGAGTCAGTCCTTACTTTCATACCTTTTTTCTCCCACTCTAGCAATTGAAGTCACTTAAATGATACCAAATGCAGAGAACAGCTCATGTTCTACTTGGGCTTCTGATGTTTCCAATTTACTGGAAATATTCTTTTCAAAGAGAAAAACATATCAGGACAATCTAAGATTTTAGAAGCTATAACTGTCTTTTTTTAAAACAGGAGATTCAACATGTCTCTTGCAAATTCTACAAGCAGTGTACTGGGAATCACTTATTTGTTCACTTGACCCATTATCTATTTGACATGTTTGCAGTCTAGTTTGTTATTTATGAATATGAGCAAGGAAAATTTTCCAGCACCTAAAGTCACGCCTCACCTCCAGACAGAGAGAGTCCATGGTCCTTAAAGAGCTACCAGAAGTAAGTACTGACCACCTCCCTGATGCAAGGTACAAACCCAAAGGAAAAGTGGCAAAAAGGAGGACTCTCTGTAAAGAAGGTACAGAAGTTACATGGGGGAATTAGCAGAACTGGAGCTGGCAGTCACTAAAAGGAACAGAATAAAGGCAGCCGCTTAGGAGCACTGAGGAAACAGAAAGCAAGGGCTGGATCAGAAAGTACTCACTGTATACTGGTAAACTAGGGGCCAAGAAAAAATTATTTGCAGTTGGAAAAAAAATTAAGAGCAGAAAAATGCTGAAGCAACCAGAAAAAAGTAAGTATTGCTCAGGGAACAGGCTGCATCTTCGATAAAAGAATAATTCAAAGCTTCATGATTCATTCATCCAGGTCCAAAAGTGCATGTTGTAAAGAAGGAAATCCAGACCATTACTGTGGGCTTTACATTATTGGATTATCGTATTTTGTGGAGTTGAGGCAAACAATTTTTTTATTCAACTTCAGAAGACTAAAATTATTTATAGATTCAGCATAAATTACAACCTTCTATAATTAGTTGGCAGATACAATGACCTATAGTTCTTCTTCAAGATCTCAATGTCTTTTGACTTTTTAAAACCAAAACACAACATCCCCAATACACACACACACTCACACAGACACACACATACACATCAACTTTCTTGCATCACTTCTGAAGAGCACATTTGCAGTTTATCAGTAGTTTCATTTGTTAGGATCAAGTGAGGTGAAAGGCACCAATAGAACATTCTTTAAAGACAACCAGACTAGTAGCTTATCTTAGGTAAACATACTGTCACACGGGAGAACAAACTACTTATATTTGTAAGGCCAGCATGTGGACATACTACGAAAAAGATTGAAAAAGAGCCCTAGATAAAACTATGCAAATACCTTTGTCCTTGTGTACCCTCTAGTGGCTGTCGAGGTTGTGCTGGCCTCACAGTAAGCAGGCAATTTCCTCAACCAGACAGAATCAGAGTGCTTCCCTCTGCAACATCTCTTTTAAAGAGATGGAGATTCATGAGATCAGGGTTCTGAGCAGGCAAAAGTATGGATTATTTGAAGTTTAAAATTTACAACAAATTCTGCCTTGTTAGTCTAATGAAGTGAACCCAAGTTTTCCACTTAAAAAGTGCCAAGATACATCAAGCTATCCACATAGCAAACATTCAGAGCATGTGCCTGTATGTACACGCTGCATGCAAACTGTGGCAACATCAGTAAGTTAACCTGGATATTACTGTTCCGGAAGTCCTCTCAGGTGGAAAAAAATCCAACACACAGGCTGCAGAGACTACATAAGAGCCACATATGTATGAAATAGCAGTTTCAGACTACTGTAATTAAACTAGAAATGGCTGTTTTGTCTGTATGTGCTGAAGAACTGGATTACATCAGGGACAAAAACTGTCATCCAGCGTAAGAACATTCTCCAAGCAAACAACCAATGTTTAATTTGGTTCGTCTTAAACAAACACAAAAGACTGTACAACAGACATTTCAAATAAACCCACTAAAAATCTCCACCCCTCACACCCAAACTCTCCAATAAATAAAAGCAAAGGTCAGCACCTTAGTCAAGGTACGAAGTCCTCTCCATAATGGAAAAAACCTCAAGTCAATTCTCACTGCTATGATTTAGCAAAAGAATACAAATTCATTCCACTGTATAGTGGACCACACAGCTGGTAAAGCATGTAAATTAACAACAGTCAAAAAGAACTCTTTTTCAAGAACTCTAGATGCAACAGCTAGCTGCATCATTCAGCTAAAGATGCAAGTTATTAAACAACATAATAAGAAACACCTTGAAAGCTGCTGAAGTGTTGAGCCTTCAACAAAACATTACAAAATTTGTGCAGGAGGGAAGTATTGTGTGGCCTCTCATGATGCTGTGCCATTATAAATGAGGCACTCAAATTATCAACACGATGAAGCAAAGGGTGCAGAAATTAGACTAGATACCAATCCCTATATATTACAATAAAAAATTATCAAAACACTGTCTTGAAATAATATGAAATAATGCACATTCAAGATGAAGACTTCACAAAGAACAGGATGCACACCACAGATATACAACACATAAGAAGTAAACTGAATCGCAGGCTACATGTACAACAGACATTACTTTTAATAAAAAGGTTCTTTTTTCTTCAGTACAGCATACGGACAGAGCTGTCCAGTCAGTCCTGCAGATAACTGAGATCGTTTCCCTTCAGACACAGCAATTAAGTAGTCAGCAGCAAGAACACTGGCTCTACTCTACATGGCAGGCGCAGGTGTTTTTTCTGTACCCCAGATGTACATCAAAAAAAAGCCATGTGATCATATAGTCTAACCAGCTCTTTGCTTATGCTATTCACATGCACCATAGGTTCATAGGCAGCAATGCAAAAATCCCTCTTTCTGTGTGTTTACAGCTTGAGTTTAAGTTAGTCCTTTCTCCGTTTTTGAAGAGAAAACCTGAACAAGTGGCCAGTCATTCATCCCCATGCCTGAGTTTTGCAATAATGCAGTACAAGCTTGCCATCACTTCCAAAACACTGCAAAAAAAAACCAAAAAACAAGAGCTGTTACAATTATTCATGGGCTAGCATACACATGAAGCAAAACGTCTTCCCAGATAAACATGTCACAGAATATTGTCACGAGAAAGCTCCCCATTACAGTGAGAGGCATAAAAACACAATGCACACGAAGGAATGCATTTCCAGAGACTGCATGAAGTCACATTTCTCTGGATCCCATTCACACAGATCTGTGAATATCAACTACACCACATTAAATGCAAGCTATTACTGCCAGGGGCAGTGAGAGATTTCAAGTGCCTGAGCTGCGCTGACAAATCCTGCTAAATGCATTTGGAAAGTATATTTAGGATGAAAGTTACCTCATAGAGGGTCCCCACTTCCTGGTCTGGAGATGGAGCAAAAGACTGGTTTACATATATGAACTGCAAGAAAATGAGAGAGGAGATGGAGATCACACAAGGACCCCACTGGGAACACAGAAGAATCACTCTGCAGTCAAAAGTTCTGCTATAATCTTTAAGCACGTAACAGACTATGACCAGTTACCATCTTCACTTCAGTGTGGGGGAGCAACAGGACCATGAGGAGTCACCTGTCTGGCCAGCCAGACCAGGGCAAAGTAAACGAGCTGACTTCCTTTTCCTGCAAGCTGACCCATTACTGTCCCACACAGCTGCACAAAGTGGTTTAGCTCTTGCTCTTATTTCTGCCCAAACCACTCATGCTATTCCAGATTTGCTCAATTAGACAGTGGCCAACACACAAATCAGAAACATCCTGTTCTATTTTCAAGTCATTCTTCTCACTTCCTGCTCCAAAAAATGCATTTACACGTATAGGAGCTAATCCTCAATGACAAAGAGGGCCTTGGGATCTGCCGTGTGAGGCAGCAGTGGATACTGGGCTATCATGTGCTGTTTCCAGATAAAAGATATAAAATTCCTAGGGCTTTGTTCTTGAAGTATAGCCTTAGGCTTCAGCCACACAGGAAGGCTATGTGTTCCTGGGTTTTTGTCCTGAGATAATGAGATGACAGTCACTGAATCAAACTGTTGAGAATGTCCTTAGTCAATATCATACTTATCACTCTTCTTTGAGATATTAAACCATGGAAAAGCAGATCCCACATGATTTCCAGGTGAATCAGAAGGCCAGTGCATTTATGCCTATATACTTAAATAAGATCCTCCAAACCAAGAACAGAATAAATTCAGCTACACTTTAGTTGACTACTTAAATGAGTCTAGCTTTATCTGTATGTCTTCAGTGAAAACTCTGGACTGTATTGAGAGTTCACTGCAGAAGAACAAAATCAGTGCAACTGTATTTCCAGCTCTTCCAGTGTTATCACGAGGCCACTTTGGCTAGTCACTTCTGTAGGAAGGACCCCATAAATAACACTGGCAACCTGCTGCCCAAGGGCAAACACTTCCCAACTCCCCATTTTAAAAGCAAAATCAGTCCTACGACAGTAGCTAAACTACCTTAGATGTGAGTTCTGAAGGAAACAGACACTCAGGTTCAGAAAGCTGATCCCAAAAACTCTGGACAGGTTCTCCGATACTGTGTCTCAATACCTTGTTCCACCAGGTACACAGTGCCTAGCAATGTTTCCCTGGGACACACGGCTGCCCAGTGTGCACACAGCTCTGCCTGGCAGACACCGAGAAATATAGACACTGCAAAAAACCCAAAGGTCAGTGCCGAGCATACCCACACTGTGCTGCAACAGCTCGCTCAATATTACATACAACCTGGGGCCTACTTGGAATAGTTCTCTCGGTGCTCCTACTCCAAGTTTCCTGCAGGTAGCTGCAGCCTGGATTCCAACAGTCTTTGCAGGGTTTGACAACGCAGGCCCTGCGCGCTCAGCCCTCGCCCGGTGCCCGCCCGTACCAGCTGTTCGGAGGCCATCAGCTTGAGAAACTTCTTGATGAAGTCCACGAGGCCCTGGATGGTCCGGGTCCGCTCCACCGCCCACTTCTTGGTCCTCATGATGGGGGTGTCGCCCACGGCCTTCAACAGCACGTCAACTGCGGGGAGCGCCGCGTCACAGCGGGCCCGCCCCCCGCCGCTCATTGNGGGCCCCGCCGCGCCCGCGGTCCCGCCCTCCGGGGCCTCCTCCCCGCCGTCGCTCCGGCCGTCGCTCTGCGCCGCGGCGGGCGGCGGCTGCTCCTCGGGCTCCGCCATGGTGCCGCTGCTGAGCGGGCGGCGGGAAGTGACGCCACGCGAGGGGCGGCCTCTGCTCCGCGAGGCGTTTTGGCCCTCGTGGGACGCCGCCTTTTCTGTCACGTGACACGCCAGGAGCGTCACGTGCGGCGCGAGCCGTCCCGCCGGCAGCGGCCACGCCCCGCCGGTCACGTGGTGCGCGCGCCCCGCTGGCAGCGGCCCGGGAGCGGGAGCGGGCTGGGCGAGGGAGCCACAGAAAGGGCGAGGGAAGAGAAGAGCAAGGGAGGGAGGGGGACACAGCACTGCTCGTCCGGCCGCCGCCGCCCCACCATGATCAAAGCCATCCTCATCTTCAACAACCACGGCAAGCCGCGGCTCTCCAAGTTCTACCAGCGCTATGTACGGGCGGGCCGGGGCTCGGCGCGGCGGGCGGGGGCCGGGCCGTGGCCGGGCGGCAGGGTCGTACGCGAGGGCCCCCAGCCCTGCCGGCTGCGCCGGGCCCGGGGCAGCGCCGCGGGAGAGGGACGGTGCTGAGAGCGCGTACGGGAGGCTTCGGAGCCAGACGGTCCTGTTTTCCCAGGGAGTTGCCTTTAGGAGGTCCGGAGGTGAAGGGGGCAGCGAGGGAGGCAGTCTCGTCCGGCGGCAGGCTCGGCTCTCTGAGCTGTGGCGGGGAAGCGGCGCTCTGAGCTCCGCTGTCCGGCGCCGTGCTGCGGGCCGGTGTCACGGCGGGGCTGGCAGGGCGGGCCGGAGGAGCTCCTAAACAGAACCGGCCCTTTCGGAAAGCCCCGGTGCCCTGTGAAATTGCAGATGACGTGAACACGTAACGAACTAGAAAAGAGCATTCTTTTACGTGGTAGAAGGCAGGAAGCTCTGAAAAGGCAGCACAAACGCTCAGTCTGAATGGAAAGAAGGTGCACTGGAAACTCGTGATGTAGTTAAAGGATAAGAGATTTTAAGATACGTTTTGAGCATACTGTATTTCCTAGCAAATATGCTGAGGTCTACTTAGGCATTAAAATACAAGAAAACAGTTGGTATTTCTTAAAGTTACATAAACAAATAACTCGTTTTTTAGAAGTGCAGTTACTTAGATTTGTGGCCTCTTTCTTGCAGCTCTGATGATTAGCGAACTCATAGTTCATTGGAAGGGATGTATCTTCCTTGCACACCTCAGGGCAGAAGTGATGACTGTGACACTTCAGTTTGCACGGTCAGGTTTTGAATTAAAGGAGCGTAACTGGTACAGGTCCTTCTTGTGTGTGACTGAAGTAGAAGGGAAAGGAGATGAACAAATGGCCAGAGGATACCAGATTTTTCTTGTAAAACCATTCTGATCTCTTAGTTTCATAACTGGTGTTTAAACAAATTCTCAGTGCTTAAGTAGGGTAATATGTTTGTGTAAACAGAATGTTCTGAAGTTTTGAAAATGTGAGTAGCAAATTAAACTAAAACTTTCTGGTGCACAGAAACAGGTGCAATCATTTAAATTGTATCTCTGATGTGTGATTTCAGTAATGTGGATTTGTTTGTGGATGTTTTGAAACTTTTGCATTCTTTACTGTCAATTGAACTGGTACTAGAGGCAAATCTCAGCTTTTGTCTATGAGGGGATGCATCTCCTGCTTTCTAGAGGGATTAATTTGGTCAGATCCGTGAAAGCAGTACTTACTTCTGTCATGATACTGAAACTTATAATATGGGTCTGACTTTTTCAGCTGATATATGCGAGAACAGAAACTGCATAAAATGAAGTTAGTATTTCGCAGTTAGGTAGAAAAACAATTTATGACAATTAAGATACATGTCATTATTTCGTCTTTCAGAATATGGACCCATGGCCGTAATTTCAGAATTAAAAATAAAGTTTCTAAAGAGCCAGAAGAATTCGGTCTCAGAAGAGATATTCTGATCTGCTAAGAGTTAAGGTCATGGCTTAGGAGAACCTGTTGCTCATGGTGCCCTTGTGTTTTAGGGTATTTCTGGAAGTGTTACATATTGTGGGATTTGAAGCTTCCTTGCTCTCTTTGAGCTTTGGGGACTTTGTTTTACTCTCAGTTTAAGGATAAAAGTAGTTCCGGCTACCTTGGAGATACAAAACATTCAAGCTACTTGAGAGCACTTATGGTTTACTTAAAACTACTTTTAGATTAATTTGTACAGAAGTTCCCAGTTTTCCACATTACTCAGTAATACCTTCTTCTGCAACTTGTAAATAATGGCTTTTTGTGTTGAAATGCCACAAGCAATACATGTCTTGTTAACTGGCAGATTTAAGGCTTCAGAAGTACATAGTTTGAGAGTGCTGATGTATTTTGTGTTTTACAGTCTTGTGTGCTGTGCGTTGTCAGTCTTGTTTAGCAAAGTATATTTTCTTTCACAGAGTGAAGATACGCAGCAACAAATTATCAGAGAAACTTTCCATTTAGTATCAAAACGTGATGAAAATGTCTGTAATTTTCTAGAAGGTGGACTGTAAGTATCAAGTTTGAAATAAATGCCCACATACTGGCTTTCAAGTATTATTATTTCTGATTACCTTACAGCTTTTCACAGCTGTAATGTAAGTGCCATGCCACTTGAGACTTGTTGATACACAAGGAATTAAATCATTCTGCAGCAAGTGTACATATTCTTCACTAACTGAAGCATAGCTATATATACCAAAATGTCTTAGGCAATAATTTTTTTTTTTCTAGTGCTGTAATGGCCACAGTGCCATATCAAGTGCCATGATTATTTCAGATACAAGGATGGGGAAGGAACAGGCAGATGTTGTTTTGCTACAATCAAGCTAAAGATTTCTGGTCTCATTTTAAGAGGCATTGGCATATGCCATACACACTGACTACAGAATCACAGAAAATTCTGAAGGAATCCACAGGGTGTCTGAAGTGAAGGACCTATACAGGAATCCAGAGCCCAGCCTTGGTGTTTTTAGCACCATGCTCTGACCAACTAAGCTAAATCTCTAGAAAATTAAATACTTTGGAACTGTTCTTTGGCTTGAACTCCTAAAATTTGAGCAGACAGCCTTTATAGTGGGATTCTGCAGCCTTTTTATCAGGATTTGGGCTTGCTGTATGAACTAAGAAGAAAAAAAAAAAAGTTTTAAATGTGCTAACTAGTACAGTTTCAACCAAGATATTTTATTAATAAAGGAGAACCAAGGCAGGAGGAAAATAAGGCTTATGTGTTCTGCTCTGTAAGACACCAAAAAAATCTCTTTAGAATCATCTTCGTAGTTTTTGGAAGTCATCTTGCTTTAGCTGAAGAAATTCTGAAATGGAGATGTGTTTTATTTTGAAGTATTTACTAGCCATCAAGAGTAAATAGATAAAATGCCACCTTCTAGAAGAAGGAATCAGAACCAGTGGAAAAAGCTCATGATCTCCAGTGTGGGACAGAGATTGTCATAGTCTATTAAATATTACATTTATGGGAATTTCTGGTTACTGAAAGTTGATCTTCTAACACCTAGATTTTCTGTGTGCAGAGTCAGTTAAATGCTTAGCTCTACCATATGAGCTAGGATATCTTTTTTTTCTTGCTCAAAATGATTCCTGATTTTTTTATATACTCTTTTTTAAATTTAAGTTATTCATTTCTGACTACTCAGCTGGTGATTCTATCATCAAGTTCTTGGAGGTGATCTCAAGTTGGAGACATTCTGGCTTGAATTCTGTAAGTCAAAGGCAGAAGACATTTGGAGCTTTTTAAAAATCACAGCTGCTTAACAAGAATAAACTGAGACAGAGAACAGAATTCTGGCTTTCCTCCTACTGCTCAGTTACAGGGTTACCATTTCAATGTTTTTTTCAGTATTTTTTTCTTTCAGGACAGGGTTCACTTTATAGTTTGCAGTTAACCCAAAGGCCTCAACAGTTTATGTGTAGAAGTATGTGTACTTCAAGTATGAAGTATTTGAAGGAATTGGGTAAATAGATGACAAAAGAAGAAATTTCAATTGCTAGGTATTTCCACTGTCCTATTTTTTTGTAATACTGTTGTCTGATACATAAACGTAATTCCTGCTCTTCAGAAACAAAGGGTTCCCCGTCCCTACTCCCATCCCTGCTCTCTGCCAAGCATTAATGCGGAGCAATGTGCTTAAGCAAAAGTGACCTAAAAGATTTTAATTTTTTTTTTTAAATCTGTGTATTCTCTCCTTGTGATAATGACAGAAACTAAAGAGATGAGTTATGTTGCACCAAATGGGTGATGCAGTTCTGGTACAGAATTAAGGAAGAATCACAATAGTCATGGCCATGTAGGTTTAGCCTAAAAATACTTTTGTTTCTCTAGGAGTCGGCCTCTTACAGCTCAAAGCAAATGTCAATGATCTGATGTAGATCTCCTGTGCTTTATGTGCCTTTTTTTGGAAGGCCATAGCAGAAGAGTGGAAGAACATACCTCTTTAGACCTCTTCTCATTCAGTGCCATGATGATTATTGAGTCCATAAAAATATAATTGCTTCTGTGACTGTAACATTGCATCATAAACTATTGCTTGAAGCATCGTCCAAGATGCCAAACATTTGTAGCACAAATGTTACATGTTCTTGGTTATTAAATGGATCATAAACCTAATTTAAGGCGTTTTTTGGTAATCCAAATGCCAGTCTTCATTACAGTTTGTTGTTTTTTTATTTTTTTTTTTCCCTCTTGATGCTCTTCTGAGAAGGTGAGGAAAGGATTCATAGGCATACACTGTTAATCTGTAAAGCAGATTAATCCCTGTGCAGTAGCTGCCTGCTGGTGTCGAATGGAAGTACATTTAATACCTGCTTTTTTTTGTGATCTGTTTGAATTGATTTGAATAAAAAAACGTGCACAGGTTGATGTAATTTTTATTCATATGGATAACAATAACTGCTTGTGTGTTAAATGTAAATTGGTCTGTATTGTTGCTTAGTCTTCTGTTGGAATTATATCACAAAATAAAAGTTGCAATATAGTTATATTTAGGATAGCTCCAGCTGTTAATAATAGGCCTCCTATTAATTGAAATTACTGTGAGGATTTGCTCAGCTTAGCCTGAGAAGCTAACTAAGCTTTTCTTGTTTTATTTCCTCTTCAGATTAATAGGTGGATCTGATAACAAACTAATTTACCGACACTATG